TTTCATTTTATATGTGGTTTTTGGCAGCTTGTTTTTGTCTCGTAAAGGAGGCTTGTGTGTTTTGGTGCAGTGAAACTGTGAGCTACGGTAGACTGCTGTTTATTTTTAGCTTTAATTGTGAATGTTAAACAACAGGAGATCAGACGGGGAGCTGGTAAAAACATTGCTGTGTGAGCCCGAAGACTCGTTTTTAGTGTTTTGTTTACTCCTTGTAAATGATTAAATATATTTCAGTCGAATGCGTTGTTGTCGTTATTATTAATATTTGATATACAGTGCCAGTGTAAGTATTTGAGCTCCTGCGGGGTTGGATACGAGCGTGTAACCGCGTTTAAAAGCTAAATCTATAGGACTGAAGGTCTGGTCTTATGAGAGCAAATGGTAGATGAATGAACAAATTGAGGGTGACGTTAGGAATAAATGCTGAGGGTTTGCTGTGATGCTCTTTAATATTTTATAAAGGGCCCTGCAGTAGCACTGTGCGTGTGTGTGTGAGAGAGAGAGAGTGATAGTGAGACTGAGAGAATTAGTTTAATGAAAATTAGTATAGGTAATATTTTATCATTATTTTTTGTTAGTTTCTGAGAGATATCTAAGCAGGTGAAAATATGTTCTACAAAAGTACATTTAAAAAAATATATATCTAAATATCTTATATTTGATGTCAAAAGAAATATTAAAAGCTTGGCCACCTAAATTTATTCCATAAGTTAGATATATCTTTATTAAATAACTTTATATATATATATATATATATATATATATATATATATATATATATATATATATAATTAATATTATTTTTATTATTATTATTATTATTATTATTATTATTATTGGCATCCCAGTGATGCAGTGGGTAGCATGATCGCCTCAAAGCAAGAAAGTCACTGGTTCGAGCCTCGGCTGTGTTAGTTGGCATTTCTGTGTGGAGTTTGCATGTTCTCCCTGTGTTCGCGTGGGTTTCCTTTGGGTGCTGTGGTATAGGTGAATTAAATAAGCTTGTCTGTAGTGTATGTGTGTGAATGAGTGTGTATGGTTGTTTCCCAGTGATGGGTTGCAGCTGGAAGGGCATTGGCTGCATAAAACATTTGCTGGATAAGTTGGTGGTTCATTCCGCTGTGGCGACCCCAGATTAATAAAGGGACTAAGCTCAAAAGAAAATGAATGAATGAATTATTAATATTATATAATAGAAAATGAAATGATCTGATTATTTTTTGGTGATTTCGATTCTATTGATTTCCAACCAATTTATTCATTAGTTTAATGAAATTGTAAATACATAAACAAGGATGGATGTGTATTTGGTAGCACTTTCTATAGTCTGGTGTTCTCTAATAAACAGCATGTGGTAGCGATGACACATTGTCTCATCAATAGTTTTTTCCATGTCATATTGATTTCAATGTCTGGTCCACATAGCCTACAGACGCTGCCACTGACTAAATGACTGAACTAAAGAGATTCTTTAGGACTTTCTATTCCAGTTCAGGACAAGGAAAAGCAAGTTTATTTATATAGCACATTGTATACAAAGTGGCAATTCAAAGTGCTTCACATAAAGTGGAATAAAAGAGACGCGTATAAATAGAAAATATAGACAAAAAATATGAAAACTGAATTTAAAACAGCTTATAAAAGAATGAAAAAGCAAAAAAAAAAAAAAAAGAGACATAATAGTGTTATCTGTCGGACATAGCACAGTGCTCATTCAGTAAAGACACAGCTAAACAGATATGTTTTCAGTCTGGATTTGAATGTGCCAAATGTTGCAGCACATCTGATCATTCTGGAAGCTGATTCCAGCAGTGAGGGGCGTAATTGCTGAAAGTCGATTCATCCTGCTTTGACTGAACTCTTGCAATTTCTTATTTATATGATCCTAATGATCTGAGTGATCTGTTAGGTTTGTGTTCAGTGAGCATATCTGTAATGTATTGAGGTCCGAGGCCAATTAGGGATTTATAGACACGTAATATTTAAAATCTATTCTGAATGTAACTGGGAGCCAGTGTAGAGACCTGAGGACAGATGATGTGCTCTGATTTTTTTGGTTCTGGTCAGAATCCTGGCAGCAGCGTTCTGGAAGAGCTGCAACTTTCTGACTGTCTTTTTTTAAAAAGGCACACACACACACACACACACACACACTGGCTGTGTGTTATTTTAGTTCGAAAGTCTCCCTGGATCCTAATTAAAATATATATTTAATTTTTTACATAGTTACTTAGTTTTTTTGTAGTTATGAACTTGTAGTCTACTTGGATCCACCTCAAGTTACAAAGAATCCAAAATGAGCGATTCCATGCAAATGTCAAACTTGCCATGAAAAAAATAAGTTTTCAACAAAATAGCGAAACCCTTTCTACTTTTGTGTGTATGTGTGTGTGTAAGCTTGTATTTTACAGTACTGTGAAATACTCAAGACCTCTTATCAATTGTTTCAAACAATTGTATTTGATTTACCCAAGTCACACAAGTGGCAATTTCACATCTGTCATATTCATAACGGAGAGACGTCACATCCATAATGACACTTTTTCCTCATAAATGCAAATAATGTCAAAAAAATAAATACTTTTTTGTTCTATAAAGAGCCAACTCTTATCCATTGGATTTGCATTATTTTTGGGGGTTGTGCAGTTTAATTCATAGATTTTCTACAAACCATGTTGTAGACTGTAAACTCACAGACTTTTTTGGTCAAATCCATAACGTAAGTTTATTTTTCTTATTTAAAATTTAAAATTTGTTTACTGATTCAGATATTTCGATATATTGTCAACATAGACTTTCTCTGTGAAATTATGTTTGGAGAGTTTACTGCAAATGTCAATTCTATAACGCTGGAATTGCTCAAACATAATTGGTCAAAGTAAAATTATTTAGTCTATTATCTGTATTTTTGAAACCCACTTGACTAATATCACATATTTAAAATAGCAGGGCAAAACATACTGTGTTAATTACCATTATTTTAAGTAAAATACAGCGTGAAAGAGCGTGATTTTAATTGGGCGGAGCTTCACCGATTCAAATAAAGAGTTTGGTCGATTTGTAAGATCTTGCTGTACAGATTGCAAAGAGAAACGCAATGGTGATTATATTTTGCTTTCTTTGTATGCTTATCTGGTTATTTGAGTTCGTGTCCTTCTTTGAAAGTCAGAATTGCTACTCTGTTGACATGAGATTAAGAGTATTCAGAGTTTACACTCCAGTGAGGTTACAGCGCCGTCTTCTGGCCGCCTTTAGCTACTGCGTATGAACAAAGTGTTTTCTGAAGTCTTCATGAAGAACAGATGTTCCCTTATCTGTTATCATCAGTCTCCAAAACTACTTATTAATAAATAAATAATTAAAAAACATAAATAAAAAAGTGATTATTTAATTAGTTTGTTTGAATTAAAAATGTTTAATACAATTGACTCTAAAAAGATTATGTTAAATTTAAATGAACTGTAATTATTTGATTTTAGTTCAATGAAGAAGAATCTAAAATGCAAAAAGCTAAAAGAGTAAATTTTATATGTATTTATAAGTATATTTATTATTTGTATTGTTTTTTAAATTTTGTTTTTTAAACTTCCAGCGTTATGAATGTAACATTTGCAGTAAAAACTCAAAACATAAATTTGCTTAGAAAGTAGATGTTAAGATTATATTGAAGCATTTGTTTTTTATTTTCCAGAACAACTGACCAAAGAGTTAAAGACCAAAAAAAATCAATCTGTAAACATGTTTTGTATTTAAAATGAGGAAACCAAACATGCGTTATGGATGTGACAAAAAAGTCTGCAGGTTTACAGTACACAACATGCTTTGTAGAAATTCTGTAAATTTAACTGCACAACCCAAAAGAAGCGATGCTAATCAAAAGGATAAAAGTCGGCTCTCTATAAAATAAAAATGATTTTTTTATTTTATTAAATATTTTCACATTTATGAAGAAAAAGTGTCAATATGGATGTGACGTCTCTCCATTATGGATGTCACAGATGTGAAATTGCCACTTGTGTGACTTTGGTAAATCAAATAGAATAATTTGAAAACACTGACAGATGCATTTTTTGCGTATTTCTTAAGTACTGTAAAATTCTTACTTACACAAAAAAAAAAAAAACCCAGAAACGTTTTTTGTATTTTGGTGAAAACTTACGTTTTTTTCATGTCAAGGTTGACAATTGCACGGAATTGCTCTTTTACAAATGTAGGAAGTTGGCCAAATGCATAAATCAAATGCATAAAATATAAAAATAAAAATATTATTTTCATGCATTATTAATTTCCATATTCTCAATGTATTATTTATTTTCTAATGTTTATTACTAAATTCGTTTTTCCCATGGTTTATTCATTAAATTTTAAATGCAAACTATGGAAATAAACCAAAATGCAAATAAAATGTATTTTAATGTTGTGTTTTACTTTAGAATTTATTGTAATTTTCCTGTAAATAATTTTTGTTGGGCCTTTTTATTTTGTTAGCTGCAGGTTTGGTTCTTCATAGGATCTGCATTTTTATGGAGCTAATAATATGCCAAAACAATCTGAACTTGAATTTGATCGTCTACTCTTCCCTTTTAATGACCCCTGACCTACTTTCTGCTGAATCTAAATTTCACAATCTGGATTTCTGGTTTTGAATTTTAGAATATTGAATTTGATGTTCTGAATTTCTTCATCTTGAACACCAAAAAATCTGAAGTTTGAAAATGCACATATATAAACAAAAATTCTGCCTTGAAAAATTCTGTTGCCTTAAATTTCAGAAGTTCAATATTCAAGTTATAAAATTACATTTCAAATTATAAAATTTAAGTAAAAAAAAAAAAATCAATTATTCAATTACCAATGTAAAAAATTCAAATATACACAATTCAAATTTTGATTGTTTTGGCATATTATTAGCTCCATACATTTTACAATGAAGATGTTTTCATTTCTAATCGCATATCTGTAAATATGAAAACGCTAAAATCTCTGTTGTTTTGTTACAGGTAATATAAAACTCACTGTATACGTCTTAAATAGAAGAGGAGGAGGTCAAACACACAGGTAGATTTAATTCCTGCAATCTACTTCTGATAACCGCACTTCACATTTGTGTGTGAGTCGGTCGGGATGCTGATGATTGTGATGAAGAACTGTGGTGTTGTTAAATTGAGTGTCCAGCAGAGGGAGGCAGAGGGTTAAAAATAACACTGTGGAGTAAATATATATCGGTCTTAAATGCTCTTTGTCTCCATATACAACATTGGCAAGTACCTTCAGCATTTGCCTGCCCTAGAGTAAGAAAGATTGCTTTTTACTCAAATATTTTCACTTTGGTCAGACAAATCGAAATAATCTGAAACAAACCCTAAACCATTCCATTTGAAATGAAAATAAAATGGATTTTATTCAGAATTAATTGAAATCTAGAAATTTCGCATTAATAATTATTTTTATTTATTGTTCAGTTAGATATACGAATAGAAATTTTGTTTATTCTTAATTCAATAGAAATTTTATTTCAGTAAAATAATGCACAACCTGGCTAATTAGAAGAATGGTCAAGCAAGAAGTAGTATTGAATAAATATTGATATATACTGTTAAAGTCAGATTTATTAGCCTCCCATTTATTTTTTTCCCCTCAATTTCTGTTTAACGGAGAGAAGATTTTTTCAACACATTTCTAAACATAATTGTTTTAATAACTCATGAGAAAATTTCCTTGCTCTCTTAAACATAATTTGGGAAGTATTTAAAAAATCAAAGAGGAATTCAAATTTATAGAGTGATACAAACTTCACTATTCATAATAATAAATAATGTTGAACCTTTATTTATTCTTTATTGAATTTAATTCCATTAATTATTTTTATTTATTGGCAGTTCATTCTGCAGTGACGACCCCAGATTAATAAAGGGACTAAACCAAAAAGAAAATGAATGAATTAATTTTGTATTAATTTTTTATTGGAATTTAGTTTATATTTAATATTAAAATGATTTTAAATTAAATTCATTATGAAATTAAATAGCTAAGCAGATAGTGGTAGGCCTGCATATTTGTTTTAAAACAATTTTTTATAGCAAAATTGTTTCATTTATTATTGTAAATGTAATTATTTAACATTCTTTTTATTTTCTAAAAATGAGATTTATAAAAATATAAGATTTGGCAAACAGCAGGTTATATTTAAATATTGCTTTGCTAAAATATTAAATTATTCTTATTATATAGTTAATGCATATTTATGCATATTTTATTGTTTTTAATTATTTATTTTACAATATCTAAATAAAAACTCCTTAAATGTTACTTAACCTTAACTTATTACAAACTTTTATCTGATTGGATTCATTTTAATTAAATGTTAATTTAATACTATTAACTATTTATATTAAAAACAAGTTCTTTTAACAAGTTCTGCCACACAACAGGTAGTATTTACATGTTAATTGATTTTATTCCTAATGTAATTGTAAAATCTGTAAAATAATGGAAAAGGTGGCTAATATAAAGAAGAACCATCATGCAACAGGTACTAATATTTATTTAAATGCAAATAAAAATGTATTTAATTGAAGATTATTCATTTAAATTTACATTTTAATTTAATGTATACATTTTATTAAAGTAAACAAATGGCACAATTCACAATTATGTATAGTAAAATAAATGTATTTATTTATAAAATTGGTAAATGTACTACTATACTGAAATATTTAAATATTTGTATTTTTGTTAGAGGAACTGCCATAATTAATACATTTGTATTTATTATTTGTATTATTTACTTTTACTTATTATTTACTTATTTTACACAACCTCAACATAATACAATCTTTTATTCTAATTACGTTTTCATAAAAAAAAATCTTAAATCCGATACTAGAAAGCTCAAAAGTCAAACTGCAACCTTCAAAACTAAAGAATAAATCAAAAGCAAATCTCATAAAGTGTGTGCTTCTGGGTGTGTAACAACAGTGACGTGTGTGTGTGAGTGTGTGTTAAGAGCAGGTTTGACTTATAACAGAGCTGTCAGTTTTCTCTCTCTCTCCACTTCACATCTGCTCTCCTCCTCCTGCTCTCCATCTCTCTCTTCTCTGTGTTAGCGTTAGTGTTAGCGTCAGTGTCAGTGTTAGCGTGCGCCGCTATGGCTCAGTGTCAGAATTGCTCTCAAAGCATGGGCTCCTTTTACTGCCTCGTTCGCAGGAGATTCAAGAGGAGACGCAAAAAACGCTCCGAACGCAAAGGTAAAACTGCTGGGCTTTAAATTAGAGTTAAGATCTTAAATGTACACATCTAAGGTTCAATTGTGGATTGTGGGCTGCTTTTAATAAGTAGATATATGTGATTTTGTGTGTGTGTGTGTGTGTGTGTGTATGTATGTATATATATATATATATATATATATATATATATATATATATATATATATATGTCATGAAAAAAAAATTGTTTTGCCATTTTAAAATGATGGCGTTTAAGGCTAGAGAATTAATGTACTTTAATAGTTTTTCACTTTTTAATAAACAATTTTATATATATATAAAAGTGGTGGAAAGTAAATGTTAATGTTAATGTAAAAATGTATGATAAATGTTAATGATGTAAATGTAAAAGCCCAGTTACAAAAAAAAACCAGGAAAAAATTGAATCACCGATGTTTAATTTAAACATTTTCCATAAAATGTTTAATCATAAGCATTTATGTTTGCTACGAAATGTTTAATTACAATTGTTTACTGCAAACTTAAATGTTTATCCGTAAAGGTTAACATAAACCTTTACCTTAAAATATTTATATGTAAAAATTCATTGTGAACTTTAACCATGAAATGTTTCATTGTAATTATTTACTGTAATCTTTGACATTCAATTTTTATCTCTAAAGGTTGACAAAAACCTTTGCCATACAGTGTTTAATTTTAATAGTTTACTTTAGACTTTAACTAAAAAATTTTTCATTTTAATAGTTTACAGAAATCTTTTGTCGTACAATGTTTATTTTCAATGTTTACTTTAAACTTTTGCCATAAAATGTTTTTTTTAAATGTTTACTGTAAACTTTTGCCAAATTTCTTTTAATTTTAATAGTTTACAGTAATCTTTTGCCATAAAATTTTGATTTTAATAGTTTACAGTAATATTTTGGCGTAAGTTTTTTTATTTTAATAGTTTACTATAAACTTTTGTCAAAAATGTTCCATTTTAATAGTTTAATAGTTCATGTTTGGCATGCCCACTAAGAATACAACGTTCCTTAACGAGATGGTTTTCAATCAACACTCATGTTGAGGTAATTTTCTTTCAGTTGACTAGTTGCACATAAAAAATTGAAATTTGTGAATTGGTCAAACTTGAGCAAAACATTCTAGATTTTTATTTTTTGCCTTTTTGCTCTTTTGCTCTTACAAAGAGTGTTTGGTTATACTTTGTTTATATGAAGCAATTTTAAATTTTTTTTTGTAATTTAATGGATTTGGGGTTTGCTTTAAAATTGCAGTTTAATTTGATTATATTTTAATCTCTCAAATGTGCAGCAATAGCCTATTAAACCCACAATGCTAGAAAACGTGTAATGAGACAAAATGATAATGATATTGGCAAACATCCCCCTCGGCCTTTGTGTGTTTTTTGGTTTATTTACTTAGCATCGTTTACATTTATTATGTATTTTGCATATACATTTATATGCCATTATTATTTTCCTAATAACATTTTGTCTATATGCTGATGTTCTGCATTTGATAGTCATTAGTACTTTTTGCGAATAAGAAAATCAATAAAAAGTTAAAATCGTATAATTGAGAAAATGAATAGTGAAATCAAAATGGTGCAAATCAAAAAATCAAAAATCCAGCCAGGGAAAAGCCAGGTAGATTAATTGTCCAAAAGGCCTCAGACAGTTACAGTATCAAGTCTCTGACTGTCGGATTTCTGTATGTTTACCTCAAGTTGTGTTGTTATTTCTTATAAGCATGTTGCTGCTTGTGCATTTAAAATGAGTTGAAACTACACAATTCTTACGTTTCTGTGGGGACAACCTAATTATTTGTTGCTCCATCCACTTAAATCTGTAAAAAAAAAAAAAAAAGATTTTGTTAACTTAATCGGTTTGTGTTAGGACAACATTAAGGAATTGTGTGGAACTCAGCATTTTTTACAGTCCACTTGGAGCCTGGTATCCTATGCTTCGGATAGGATAGAGCATAGATGTTTTTTTCTCCTTATGCTTCTCTATTACTTGTTAAATTACAGAAATTCACCAGAAGTTTAAATTTAAGGAAATTTCCGTAATTTAATGTCCGTTATTTTACAGTAAGTTTCTGTAATTTAATGGCTGTTATTTTATAGTAAGTTTCTGGAACTTAACATTTGTTGTTTTACAGTAAGTTTCTGTAATTTAATGTTTGTTATTTTACAGTAAATTTCTGTAAATTAATATCTGTTATTCACAGTAAATTTCTAAAATTTAACATCTGTTTTTTACAGTAAATTTATGTAATTTAGCGTCTGTTATTTTACAGTAAATTTCGGTAATTTAATGTATGTTTTTTTTACTGTAAATTTCTTTAATTTAACGTCCGTTATTTTACAGTAAATTTCTGTAATTTAATGTTTGTTATTTTACAATAAATTTCTGTAAATTAATGTCTGTTATTCACAGTAAATTTCTAAAATTTAACATCTGTTTTTTACAGTAAATTTATGTAATTTAGCGTCTGTTATTTTACAGTAAATTTCGGTAATTTAACGTATGTTTTTTACTGTAAATTTCTTTAATTTAACAACCGTTATTTTACAGTAAATTTCTGTAATTTAATGTTTGTTACTTTACAGTAAATTTCTTTAATTTAATTTCCGTAATTTTTCAGTAAATTTCTGTAGTTTAACTTCTGTTATTTTACAGTAACTTTCTTTAATTTAACGTCTGTTATTTTACAGTAAATTTCTAATGTTTAACTTCTATTATTTTTCAGTACATTTCTGTTACTTAATGTTTGTTATTTTACAGTAAATTTCGGTAATTTAATTTCCATTATTTTACAGTAAATTTCTGTAGTTTAACAGCTGTTATTTTAGATTTTTTTCGGCACCCAAGCTTCCGAAAAATAATTAAAACTACAGATTTTTTAAACAGTGTAATTTAAAACAATAAGCACAAGAAAATATTTCTAGTAAAACATAAAAAATAAATAAGAACAAACTATAGATTTAACTTAATCGACTTAATACACAAATACACTTCATTAAACATGTACATATAGACATCACCTATATGGTATAAAACAGCAGGTTTTTTATGATAAAACTGCATGTTTAGATATAATAACTTATAGTGGATTGTAACTTTAATTTAAATTGATTGTAATGTAATAATGTGCACCTTTTGTAAAGCTGCTTTGAAACAATAATTATTGTTTCAAATAAACTTGAATTGAATCTCTCTGTTTCTCTATCACTCTCTCTCCCTTTCTTTCTTTCTTTCTTTCTTTCTCTCTCTCTCTCTCTCTCTCTCTCTCTCTCTCTGTGTGTGTGTGTGGAGTGCTGAAGGCAGCAGATAGCAGGTTCAATCCAGACAGCTTCTCAACTGTGAAGTTTAATCCGTCTCATTAGGACGGCCACTTCACGCCGCTAATCTCTCAATGTTCCAATGCCAGTCCAGTCCAGTCCAGACCAGCAATCCAACTGGAAATCAGAGAAAAGATTTGATCAAGCGCTTGTTTAGTGAACGGGATGACCTTTTAATCCCCTGACATCTCTGCAGATACGCGTTGACGCCTTGATGGACGGAGGTTTTCCATGCTAATTTTTAGCTTGTGCTTTGATGGAGATGCTGATAAGCCATTGTTGTGGTTCAACACAAAGCCTTCCCTCTTCATAGGAGCTTGTCTTTGTTTCTGTAATCCTCTTTACAACCGCCGACCTCTTGGTTAAGTGATTCGCAGTTTGGTGGTTGCTAAAGGCGGTGATGGAAATCGTTAATGTGATTGGATGGCATTTCGTAACTTTTTTATTTAGTTGATCATATTTTCATGATCTCACTGGTAAATTTTAGTATGATTGTCTGATCCCCCAATGAGGAGTGGGGTTTGGGGTAAAAATTACACTTTTGCTAGAAATTGTACGTTTTCATTAGCAACTTTTCTAACAATACGTAAAGAAGTTACGTTTGCTTGTGAGATCGGGATCGATAAATTTATTTTTCCAAAGCATTTATGCTGTGGTAATTAACGAAAATAACACAAATCTTGCCATTTCTTTTCATGTTAAAGTTTTATCATAACTGCTAATGGTATTTATTTGTTTTTGACAAAGCGACGTATAATAATAAGGTGGGGTTCTTTTCAAGTAACAGCAGGGTGTTGCTCTAAAGTTGGGATTAACTCTTTTTGTCCACAGCTATGACATCAACCAAGTCTATTGCTGCGACCGAAATTGCATACTTCCATATGCTAAAAACAGTATGGGAGCCGAGTAGTACATCCGAGTTCAATTGAACCTACTCGCATTCATACTATATAGAATATACTGACAACGGTTGAGTAGTAGGCGATTTCGAATGCAGCCTATGTTTTTGTATGAATGAAGTCATATGACTTTTTATGAATTAGCCACTTTTCTCACAATAGATGATGTAGTAACATTTCCTCATGAGATTGGGCGAAAATTGCAAACTTAATTTTTTTCCAGAGTTTGATTCATTTCAACAATTCAATTTTTTTTAGTTATTGATTTTGTTAAAGATTAGTTTTCGGAATTTTGAGGTAGAATGAACTGAGAAATGATTGGGAGAAATGTTTATTAAATTTACAATCCTTAGAGGCAAAAACACATAAATATACCATATATATTATGGCTGCACGATACTGAACCAAACTGAAATTGGGATATTTAATTTCTTCTGCCATATATAATACAATAAAATTTCAGAAGATCATTTTCTTTTTGGAATTTTTTACCTTTTTTTTAAAGAAATTCAATAATCAAATGTAAAACAACACACTTTGTTTGTATGAATAATTAAAAACAATTAATATTTGTTAAAGCTTTAAACTGTCATTTAGAAATCTTACACAGTCACAGGCCTTATGCTGTATCTATTTATGCGCAAATATTTTGAGTTTACTTGCTTTATTTGCGCATCAAATTCACTTCATTCGCACGTCCAATTCACCTCACAATGGATCCAAATCCCTTGGGTGGGTCTTCTGTCTGCTCGGTTACTCCAGTTTTGTTGCTATATGGC